AAGCCCATCACTGCAAGGATCCCTCGTGTTGCACTTTTACAGCCACACCTGCTTCTCTCCTGCTCTCACCCCCTCCTTAATTCTCAGCAACCATACATCTGTTCTCCATTTCTATAATTTTGTCATGTGAGGAATCACATAAATGGAATCATACAGTACATAACTTTGGGGATTGGCTTTTTTCACTCAGCATAATTCTCTGGAGATGGTTGTTGTTTCGATAGTCTGTTCCTTTTTATTGCTGAGTAGTACTCCATGATATGGAAGTACCAGTGTTGGTTTAACCATTCACCTGTTTAAGGATGTCTGGGTTGTTTCCAGCTTTTGGCTATTACAATGAAACCGCTATAAACATTCATGTGCAGGTTTCTATGTGAACATAAATGCCCCAGAATGGAATTGCTCCGTCATATGGTAATTACATGTTTAGTTTTTAAAACAACTGCCAAATTTTTTTCAGGGTGGCTGTAACATTTTGGGGTAGGTCTGCTCACGATAAAGTCTCTTAATTTCCCTTCGGTTAAGAATATCTTGATTTCCCCTTCATTCCTAAAGGATATTTTCACTGGATATAGGATTCTGGATTGACAGTTTTTTTCTTTCAGCACTTGAAAAATGTGGTGTTACTTCCTTCTGTCCTCCATGGTTTCTTATGAGAAATATGCTCCCACTCAAATTGTTCTTCCTTTCTAGGGAAGATGTTGGGATATGCTACGGGTCTAGCTAAAAGAAAGAGGCTGTTTATATACAATGTGGATAAAGTATTAATTGGCATAGCTGTTTGGGACATCAATTTAGCAATATTTACTAAGGCTTAAAATTGCTCAAACCCAAGTAATTCAATTTCCTCAAGAAATAATGGTAAAAATAGAAATGGCTTTATGCATGAACATGCCTTTGATTAAAAAAAAACAATTGGGTAAATCATGATATTTTCATGATGACAACTACGTAAAAAAAATTTTTTTTTAACTTAAAAAAAAACAAAAGGAAATATGCCAAATATGAGACCATATTTTTATCCCTCTACCATTCTGTATTTTTAAGTAATCTGTAATGAAAATATATTATTTTTATTTTTTAATTTGTATTCATTTATTTGTTTTCAAAAATGTACTATTTTTATAATAAAATACCAGCATTTTATTCCTATAGCACCAAGAGTAAAAGAGTGAATTTGGGCCGGCCCGTGGCTCCCTCGGGAGAGTGCGGTGCTGATAACTCCAAGGCCACAGGTCCAGATCCCATATAGGGATGGCCGGTTGGCTCACTTGGGAGAGCGTGGTGCTGACAACACCAAGACAAGGGTTAAGATCCCGTTACTGGTCATCTTCATAAAAAAAAAATTTTTAATTTTTTTAAAAAAAAGAGTGAATTACAGTTGTGTAGTCATGGGAAAATAAAGCTGTCACATTTATATATTTTCAGGAGCATTATTGTAAAAATCAATTACATTCAACATCCAAACTTCCTTCCCTTGAGTTCACCTCCTAAAGGTTCATCCTCAGATGACATCCTGTGGACTTTCCCAATCCCGACCCGGTTCCTGTCCATGATCCAGCACCCTGGTGCCACTCTAAATCCTGACCACAGACCAGAGAATGGCCAGCCTTCCCATTTGCCCACGCTCTCATTTCTCCAGTCTCTCTTGTGTGGTCTTGACATATTTCCATTCTCGTCCTGGCTGTGGGAATTGGGCGAGTTACTTAATTTTTTTCAGCAGAACTTTGGAGCGGCTGTGTCAGTCTCCTGGCTGCAAGGCATCACTCGCAATTCCTAGGGGACACCCGAGATGAGGGGAAGTAGCCCCAGTGTAGACGCTTTGGGTTGAGATGGTGAGAGGTGCAGATGGGCTCCAGTGGCCTTTCACAGCCTTGCGCAGCTGGAGGCTTTTCTTTCCTAAAATGGTTTTAGACTAGACCATGTCTGAAAACTATTGTTCACTCTTGGGAATGAGAGATTCCAGACAGTCAGGGGCCAAAGCCAGATGCTGGCATGCTGACAGAGGATAGAGATCACAGTTTCCCCTCAGGCTGGAGGCAAGGCCTAGGAAAGAACAGGCAGGGTGCCCGCAGCCCCCGGGGCTGTTTGGCTGAAGGCCTGTGCCTTCGAATATAGCATTATAATGGTCTCGGCAGAGCGGCGGGGCCAGACCACCTGATAGTGGGGAGCGGGGAGATTTCCCTGCAAGAAGTAAATACTGCCAAGCATCCTAGGGCATGCCACCAGGAGCTACTCAACCTCCTCCTCTGGTAATTGGCTGCCAAGCATCCTAGGGCATGCCACCAGGAGCTACTCAACCTCCTCCTCTGGTAATTGTACCCCAATTTCCCTAGTGGAAATGCTGCCTCCCCACTGTCACTTCACTGCTCCTCACTGGGGATGCAGCACATAACCCAGACCTGAGGCAACTGGCCTGTGTGGCATGGCTCTGGCCTCGGGGACTGGTTCAGGGATGGACTCAAAATACCAACACTGCCTGACACTGATAAAGCACTTCCTCTGCCCAGGCCCCATTCTTAGAGTTTTACACATTAACTCAATTAATCCTCACAACATTCAGATGAAATGATACTGACATTATCATCCGTGTTGGGCAACTGAGGCACAGAGGCATTAAGTAATATGCCCAAGTGATACAGCTATTGAGTGGCAAAACCAGGACTTACTTTAAGGTCATCTGACACCAGAATTCATTATTGTAATACTGCGCCATACAGCGTACTAGGACATAGTCAGGCACAAGTGTGCTGTGACAGAGACACTTTCTTCTCTGAAGGGCCTGAAACTGAGGAGGACGCTCTGGAGCTGCTACTGCCATTTCACCCCTGCTTGGAACCCAAGAATGGCACTAATGCAGAGGGCAGAGCTGAAAGCAGAGGAGACAGATCCTAGGGGCGTGGTAAGCTCCAGAACTGGGTCAGTCTGCAGCCAGCTCAGCAGCGCGGCCAGCAGATTCTCACATCCCCATCTCCTCCACCTGTCTGCTTGTTTCTTAGTCCAGTTTCAGTTGGTTTGGGTTATCTCGTCCACATCACATTTTCTGTTTTCTCTTTCTAAGAATTCCTATTAATTGGTTATGAATCTCAATAGATCCCCTTATTTTCTTACCCCTTCTTTGTTATCACTCATCTAGTTTTCTTTTTGTTCTACTTTCTGGGAGATTTCCTTGACCTTACTTTTTAAACCTTTTAATGAAAAACATTAGGGGATGGGAGTATCACTTTTTTTATTTCTAGATTCTCTTTTTCAATTGTTCTTTTTATTGGCATCTTAATTTTTGTTCATTGTATGATCTAGTCTGTTTATTTAGCACCTACTTTACATTAGACACTGTACTAGGTGCTTTATCTATTTTCTCTCATTTTGTTAATCCTCTTAACCTCTCTGTAACTTTTATGCTAGTTATCTTTTAGATAAGAAACAAAAGTTTAGAAACTTCACAGCTAAGGAGTAGCAGGCCTAGGATTTCAGCTCAGGTTGGCCTGAGTCCAAAGCTTGTGCACTTTTCTCATATAATGCTGTGCCACCTGGATATATTGCTCTCCATTTTAGATAAGGAAACTGAGGTGCAGAGATGCTCCTTACACATCCTGAAAAATTCTTGAGGCAGGTTATGAGAGAAGGCCAAGGCCTCACGTAGTAGAGATAAAGGGGGTGTGCAGAGAATGGTAAATCATGCTGTGTCCCTAATGTCCCAAGGCCCTCTTCCATCAGGGGAACTTTCTGTAAGGAAAGACAAAGAGGACCACAAAGGCTGGCAGGGAATAATTAAACAGCAGCCAGTCATGGAGGAGGAAGGTGTTGCAGTCCTGTCTGTTTAATGGGGTGATTCTATCTTCTAATGATCTGCTTCTCTCCCTCCCCCACCCCAGCTCCCTCACTGAATTCCTTCCCAGCTGCCAACAGTTATGAGATCCCTCCAACTGTGAGCCCATTCACTACATCCATCCAGAAGGGCAGCTCTGGATGAAGAAGAGCCAGTGCAAGGTCCAAGGGTCTCAGGAAAAAAAAAAAAAAAAAAGGAAAGGGAAACTTCCTTTCCAACAGGCAGAACAAAGTGTGTCATTTCTGTCTTTTTTCCGTGTCCGGCAACGGATTGCAACCCTCAGTGTTGCCCCCGTACCGGACCGGGGACCGGCAACGGGATTGCAAGCCTCGGTGTTGCTCCCGCGCCTCGCTCAGCCAGTGAGCGGGAGCCGGTCTGTATGTGGGATCCGAACCCTCGGACGGGAGCACCGCCGCGCTTCCCAAGCGGCGCACTATCCAGTGCGCCACCGGGCCGGCCCAAAGTGTGTCATTTCTGAAATGCCAGGGGAGACTACTTTTTGCTTGGGCCTGGGATGTTTTCAATAATGCTATCTAAATTTTCTGGCAAAGAAAGAACAGTCACCAGAGTCAAGGGGGAAACATTACATATTCTCCCAGACTAGAGAATGCTGTCATAATCTGAATTTGGCCAGAGAAGAAAAATCCAAAAATGATTTCATTTGGAGGAAAATAAAATGCCTAAAAGGGGAAAGTGACTTTAAATACTAAGAATCTACCCCTGCAAAAAAGAGCAGGGTATAGCCAAGGAAGGTCACAGGACCCGTAATAATAGCAGGCACATCTAAATATCTGTATTAAACAAATAAACCTTTCATGTGGTAGAAGGGAAGCCTATATGGACAAAATCAACTGCTCTTTATGTTGTTTCATCAGTTTTATTGGTCATATATCCAGAATTCATTATATAAATCTTTCAAAATAACAAGAAATTACAAGAATAGTTTACAAGTCAGCTCTGATTGCACAAATACTTGACACAGGAAACTATTTTTACAAATACATATGTTTTCTTATAAGAATACTTTAATAAAGAAAATAAGTCTCTATATATCTTTCAGCACATTTTATGCAGTTTCTTTTTCCCATTCAACCATCACTTGAGGTCTTCTACTCTAGCACATCCAGCACATCCAATAAACCAAATTACAATCTGCTGTGGCTCCTCATTAAAGAGTTTTTAGGCTTCCTTTTTTAACCTTTCCTGATTTGAAAGAATTCACGTATACAGGCTATAAGAGGTAATCTAGACAACACTCCTTCTAAATAGAACGTGTATCAGGTTAATCACTGTGTTTGGTGAATGATCTTCTCACCCTCCACTTAGGCTACACCAGCCAGCAGTTTTACCCCTGCTGTATCAAGTCCTTACATTCTGAATGGTTACTAAACTGCAAAAACGAAACTCTGGAAACAAGAGTGAAATACAAACATTAAGAAAGCTAAAACATTTACTATTGATTAGAGTAGAGAACACTTTTAAATTCAAGGTCTCTCCCAGGTTGAAGAAGACAGAAAAGAAATAAAGGATAAGGACGTGGCAGTAGTTGCATAAAATACTGAAAATCTGAAAAGGTTAATCACTTTTGCCAGTGGTGTATCATTTATTTGACATTCTTCTTATGCTGTGGCTTTGAAAGAGACTAATAAACATCCACTTGCTAAGAGCAAGTAATTATTCAGGCCAGGGGAACTTTACAGAATATTGACCATGTTTACCTGAAGAGATAGGACACTCCCCCACCCCCAGGAAAACCTTTGGCATTAACTCCATTCCCTCACTGTTACTGAGATGTGGGTCCACTTGGGAAAGCTTGTTGTCTTACTTTTCAGGTTGCATGAATTAAAATCAAGAAACTAGCAGTATACTACAGTCAAGTTCCTGAGTGCTCAGCTCCAATTATCCAGTACTCTTAAAAAGATTCTTTAATCAAGCCCTGGTCCAATAAGAGATTTAACAGCACATAGGGACTATAAGATGTCCCATTTCTCTTCTCTTTCTCACCCCAGTGTAACAAATTGCTACAGGTTTTTACAAAACACTGCAGCAATAGTTGGAAATGAGTTATTTTGCATTACCAAAAGTGTTCAATCACATTATCACGGGTAACATTTGCATATAACTAGGAGATAACCAAATAACATCTACTGCAGTGATTTTGCAAATTCAGCATAGTCGATGTATCCATCATTATTCTTGTCATCATCTCTCAAAACACCATCTATTATGTTGATCAGTTCATCTTCGCTCATTACTGGTGCTGGTTCACTGTCTTCCTACAAAATATAATGTAGATAATGATGAGTTGCACATTTTGCTGGAAGAAGTGCTTAGCTAATGTCCAAAATGTCTATGCTCATGTGTCTGGAAACTCTTTCAATGTTGTACTTGGTTACTTCTAGGAATCCACCTACCCAACTATCAAATATAGAGTCAATTTATAATAATTCAATTTAAATTTGCCAGTTAGAAGAAAGATGCATTCAAAGCAGGCCCTTGCTTATTTGTTTTAAAAATTACTATGCATTCTTTTCTAATTACAAAAGTAATACAAGTTCATTGTAGAAAGGTGGGTCTGCTTACACAGAATTATGGGTTTCATAGATTCCCTGACCCACACACCCCTGCTGAAGAAAAGCTCATAGCCTAAGCCCACCCGAGGGTCAGGTCTGTGCACAATTTGCCTGATAAATGGAAACAGTGATATATTAGACATCTTGCAGTCAGAACAAGAGGAAGAAGCCTCCTCCAACCAGTAGAACCTGTTATGGTCTTTGAGGAAAAAGTACTTCTGCTGCTCCAGCAGCAGGTATAGCAAGGCTCACTGCACCAGGGGCTAAGCTAAAGCCATTCACGGCTGGTTCTTCCTTTGCCACATCTCCCACATCTACCCTTTCCTCTCCTATCGCCACCACCATCCTTGCCTGCCAGGACTTCGGAATCTTAAGTCCTCTCCCTAACACTGGTCTCTCCTCACATCCACCAGTCTGCCTCCCACAGCAAAGGATCTTCCCCAAACAATGCCATTCTCCTGTGCAAAACCATACTGCCATCGAGGCAGACCTCAACCTGCACCCCTGGCAGCCAATGTGATCACACCCACCTTACCAACTCTGCCTAGGGCCCCTGCCATAAAAGTCAGGCAATGTGGCAGAGTGGGATGACATTAAACCTAGAGGCACAAAATCCCGATGTTAGTTTCCTTATCCAAAAAATGGAAGTAATAACAGTGCCTGCCCCTTCCTACTCAGGCTGTTGCAAAGATCCAACAAGATCTCTAACCTAGTTGAAAGTGCTTTGAAACTGCAGAGCACTGTACAGTATCACACAAACACTCAACTACTGCCAAGTCTCTTTAGCCCTTGGTTCCCTCATTTGCCATTCCCAAATGAAACAACTTCTCTCCTGCTCTGCATGTTGAGTGTGGTCTGTCTTTTTAGTACTGGTTCTCAAAACTCCGGTGTGTAGCAAAAATGCCTACAGCACTTGTTAAAGATAAAATGCCCAGCCCTGGGGCTTCTGCCTCAGCAGGTCACCTTTTGCAGGAAGGACCGTTAAGTAGAAAGAGGCAGAAGAGCGTGGTGAGCAGAGAAAGCAGCAGCAGCACTGCTGATGCACAGGACAGCACATGTCATCAAGACTGGGGACTGAATTACCCAAGGGAGGACTTTCCATGATACTGCCCACTGAGCCACTGCCTGACCTACCTCCTTATGGACATGAGTGATGGCTGTGGAGAGTTCTAAGCCGTCAAGCAAATTATTGCCATCATAATCATGCATTTTGAAATAATGGAGCTGCAGTTCTTGTGGGGACATCTCCGCCTCTGGTTTGTTGATGACACCTTCTAGATGCTCCATGATATGCCTAAAAACCAACAGTCAGACTCAGACCACTTGGCAGCAACACTGGGATCATGCCAAAACCTTAAGGACTCTGAAAAGCTCAAGATCTTAAACTTCATCCAGCTCAGAAAAGCAAATAGAAACAGTGGCAGACCATACTCAAGGATAATACATAGAGACAAGGCCATGAAAGGAGCAGGGAAAAAGTCAACAGGTCGTCTGTATGCTGGCATGATTATGGGCGTTTTTTCCTCTTTATTATTAGAATTTTGTTACAACATTTTTGTGCCATAAATTTAAAAAATATTTTAAAAAACAATTCAAGGATAGTGAAGTATAATGTATGAGGCTAACTGGCCCAGGACAAAAGCTGCAACAAATGATTCAATGTTTGGATGTGTCAATCAATTAAAGAAAAAAAAGATCTTGTCAGAGTCAAGAAACCTTAGTTGTAGTCTGGATTATGTCACTACTACTGTGTGTGTGTGTGTGTGTGTGTGTGTCTGTGTGTGTCTGTGTGTGTCTGTGGTGAAATAGAGAGAGGCAGAATTCAGAAAAGTAATTTATCCCATTGGGGCTTCAAGACTGTCCACTTGTCATATGATGATGAAAAAGACTCCCTGATTTATAGGTGGCAATAAGGAATAAATATCATCCTTGAAAAATGTCAAGGAGCCACGTACACAGGAGTAGGAAAAGAGGATGAGAGCCCCTGCAGCTGGCTGCAGTTGCAGGTGATGGGGAGACTACGGACCACAGCCCAGGCTGAATACATACTCTTGGTCGTGCACTGTGTTCTTGTCCAGGCCCACACTGCCGGGCTGGGAGAAGCTGGCCACAGGCTCCTCGGCCCTGGCACCTGGGATGCAAAAGGCCCAGAATAGGCCGCACAGGAAGGGGGTTCTGAGCAGCCACAGGGATCTCATGGTCATCAGTACCTGGGAGGCAGGGGACAGAGAAGATGAAGGTGAGAGCACCAGAGTTAAAGCTTTTTTCGAGAGCTGACATGGTACACTCCTGGGGGAAGCAGCGAGGTTGTGGAAGACAGCATATCAAACTGGGCTCAAGGCCAGCTCTGCCACTACACTGCAGGATGACTCTGGATGCTCCAGGTGCCCATAACTCAAATGGGTGCCAGGGGCAGCGGGGGTGGGTAGGGGGTTGGGGTTCACAAAATTTCTTGAAGTGCTTTCATAGGGCCAAGCAATTCCTGAGATCTTAAAGGAATTCAAAGGTTATTACTGCCTACGAAAAGTGACAGTCCATTGAGAGAAATACACTCTACCAAGAGCACTGAGAAAGGCAGAAAGTGAAGTATACTAGAGAAAAATAAAACCCTCTGGGAGTTTAGCAGAAAAAACTTCCTCTGGTTGAAAGAAAATCAGAAAAGGCTGATAAACAGGGTGACACATTAGCTGGGCCTGGACAGACGTGCAGCAATTCAATGGTGGGAACAGAGCAGAAGTGCACACAAGTGGGAAAGAAACTACATGTGGCTCAGTTGGGCTGGAGCCTAGAGGGTATGAAGCAGACAGATGGGGGTAGGCAGCAAGAGGTGAATAGGCCATACTGGACACGGCTTTGCACATATGCCAAGGGGGCTGGCACTTCATGAGGACAAATGGGGAGCCATGAATGATTCATGATGGGAGATAAGATCTTGGTTTTTGAGGGAAGCAATAAAGCGGGTCAGATCAAGGTCTGCAGCAGTGGACACGGGGAAGAGGACGTTAATTCCTGCCTCATCCACCTCCCAGAGCTGTGACAGCAGCAAGTAACTTAACCACTATGGGAGAGCATTGGAAAGGAAAGTTAGAGAAATCAGGATTCCATCAAGTATTCCTGGGGTCTAGCTACACTTGAAATTATGATCAACAACAAGATGACACAGTCAGCTGCAGAGCAAGCTCCCTGAGGGCAGGGAGTACTTTATTCCCAACAGCATTCCCCACCAAGGGTCAGGTTGGCCTTTAATAAATGTTGATTCAACTGGAAAGTTCTGGCCCTTCCTGGGACCTATCAACTGACCTCAAAAAGGAAGGTGAAGGAGACCTACATTCAAAAACAAAGACCTGACCTAACATTCACTTCTCAAAAGGCAGAGCAGTTGCAACTGGATGACAGGGGCCAGTGACTTCTAAGGGGCCAACTGTAGCCCACAGCCCCAAACCTACAGCAGTAAAGATAAAACCTGGGTGCCAGGCATACCTTACAAATGCTACACACAGAGCTTGGCTCAGAGCTGCTGCTGGCTCCACTCTCGTGCCTGGGGCTGGGAAGCAGAGGTGCTCTTAGGGTAGGACCCTGAGAGTATGCCACGCTACAACATTTAGAAAAGTTTCCCTGTCTTGCCCATTAGCCGTTTCACCTCCTATGGTCCCCTCCCTATATGGGACAATAGTCACTGGGATGTGTAACTTCCAGGGGCTAAAAAGCAGAATCTAGGCTTACTACTGAACAGTGACATCCCAATGTGATCTGTCATACTTAGTAACAGAAAAAGATGCTTAATATATATTAAATGAAAAACTGAAGCCTGCAAAAGCCTATAAAGAATAATTCATTTTGTAAAATAAAAAATGTATATACCAAACAATGACTAAAAATTGATAACAAAGATGATCTGGAGTCATGAGATTAAGAGCGATTGTGATTTTCTTCTCTACTGCTTCTAAAATTTCTAACATAAACATATTTTTTCTTTACAAATAAGTATTTAATGTAATCTATCCCATAATTTTGTTCCAATACTATAGGTATGGGATTTTAAAAGGAGTTTCCAGTTAATTCTTACCTCCAGAAAATAATTCATAAAATAGCCAGAAACTATACTTCCAATGTTACCAAATAAAAGTATCCAGATCCTGACAAGGTCATTGCCACTGTATATTGAAAAACAAGGTCTCGGGCCGGCCCGGTGGCGCACTGGATAGTGCGCCGCTTGGGAAGCGCGGCGGCGCTCCCGTCCGAGGGTTCGGATCCCACGTACAGACCGGCTCCCGCTCACTGGCTGAGCGCGGCGCGGGAGCAGCACCGAGGCTTGCAGTCCCGTTGCCGGGCCCCGGCCCCGCGCGGGGGCGCCCCCGGCCGACGGC